TCTAAGCAAGGTCAAGCTTTCAAGTCGAAGGCCCGACACATGCAAATCGAGATCCTTCAATCGCCTTGGCTATGTGAGCTTATGGCTTTTCACATAAACTCGAGAACATCCGATAAAAAAGTCAATTCAAGTAGCGAACAAGAAGTACTCTTCGAAGGGTGTTCATTTTTATTAAACGACGTGAAACCATCTCTGCATTGTGAGATCTTTGACTCGGTCGAGTTAGATATCGACTTGACCTGTTCCATATGCTTGGTTAGTGCCTCTGAATGGTTAAAAAAACCTTTCCAAATCATGAACTACATTAATTTGTGATTTTGTTTAAATGATTTTTTTTTTTTTTGCTGCTTACAGGAGACATTGTTTGATCCAGTTTCACTCACCTGTGGTCATATGTTATGTTACTTGTGTGCATGCAAAGCTGCTTCAGTTACGATTGTTGACGGGCTTCAGGCAGCACAGCCCAATAAGAAATGTCCAATATGTCGAGAGGTATCGGCTAAGCCATGTTTGGTAAACCTGATAAGCTAGCTTATAGCTTTTAAGTAAATTTCGAGCTTATAGCTGTAACTTATGACTTATGGTTGAAAATTATCTTATATGATGATAAAAGTGTTTGGTAAAATTAGCTGATCAACTAGCTGAAATAAAAATTTCAATGAGCTTATTTGAAAAGCTATCCAAGGAACCTTATGAGATAAGCTCGAAGTTTCTTAAAAAAACTCGTCCTACCAAATCAAGCTTATTTGAATACATGAATCTTATAAAATCTACCAAACCAAACTTATTTGAATATAGGAATCTTATAAACTAATCAAATAAGCTCTAAACTAGATTATATGGTTAGCAAATACAACCTAAATGTTCCACAATAAAAGATTTTAAGGTCATTTGAGAAGAAAAAACGTTCACTATAATAATGGTTAGCCTTTTACGGAGACCTAAAGGCTACACTTGCTCGGATTTATTACAGGAACGGGTATATGAAAGTGCGGTACATTTGGAGGAGCTTCATATTCTGTTAGGCCAAAGGTAAACTCAGTTTCTGTAACTTTATATTCGAACCAAATGTTTCGTTAGTTTCGTTTACTACTGACTCGTTTTACATTATTAACAGCTGTCCAGAATACTGGGAAGAGAGGCGAAAATCGGAAAAGATTGAGAGAATTCAGCAGACTAAAGAGTATTGGGAGTCTCAGTGCCGATTATTCTAGGGCATTTGAGCTGAAGATGAACATGCTATTCGAGCCAATTTTTTTTCGGCTTTTCAAGTGTACCCACAAGCATGAAGTTTTTCATGACGCTGTTCTTTTTCCCGAGAGCATACTTTAAATTCTACATTAACCCACAAAAAAATTATGCTGTTAAAAAGATGTAAGCTTTAGCAAAACAAGAACAAACTTGAAAGGTTAAACACAAATCTTATTGACGAGGAGTTATATTTCAGAAAGTAATATTTCTTATTAAGCAAAACCCACAAAAAAATCAATGAATTGAAAAAATATTCAAATTGTGAAAGGCATATTATATCATAACTCAGCAGCTTAGTGAAGAATTAGAAGAAAAAAAGTGCAAACATATTTTGACCAATGCAATTTAGTGAAGAACACTTCCATCACCAGAACAAATTATACATGACCTCTGTTCAAGAGAATTTCAGCTAACTATACCTCATGAGTGTGTGTTGATCTAATCGTAGGATCGAACTTTCCATTGAGCTACCATGAACAAGTAGAATTTTTTTTCCAAACTGTGAAGAATGGAGCTAATGCAAGAGCTCTCAGAAATCAACAAAAACAAACAACTGAGCCCAAATTAACCAAAAGCATATCAACAAACGGCAAAAGCACGCAAACAAAAAAAGTATCACCGACCATCTTCCTCGATGTCGCTGTCTCTATCGATCGGCTCGAACTCCGGCAGGGGCTCGCCGGCGAGGGGAGGCATCTTGTGAGCTGTACGCGCCCGCACGCAGAGGAAATTGGAGTTCTAAACGACGCCGAACGACTTGTAGTTGTCGATCACGCTGCCCTTGTCGTCCCATTTCAGAGAGGGTCCAGTATAGCTTTGAGCTTCGAGGGGAGACCGAACTCCGGCCCGCTTGAACACGTTAGGGGCCATTGGATATGGTTTAACAGTAAAAAAAAATTAATCAAAACTTAAATTTAATTTAACTTTAACCCAACTTCACTATTTCTAATATTATCAATATAATTAAATAATATCAAACAATTATTTTTACACATCACATGAACTTTAATTCACTATTAATCCATTCATATAACTTTAACTAATTATCACTTCCAATCATTTTTCTCTTACTTTACATCAAATCAACTTTAATTATTATTTTTAAATATTATTTAATATATTCACTAACAACTAACCATACCACCTATTTTTTAAATTAACTATAATTAAAAAATAAACCCAATAAAAACTAGTTGATTTCATAAACAATCACACCCTTAGGGTTTAGGATTATTTTTTTGTTTTTTATTTGTTGTGTTGGAAAAATATCATTTTGTCCTAATATTTAATTATTTTTGAGAGAGGTGTTTGAGAGTTTCAGCAGGTTTAACTACTTAACAAAGTGAGTCGATAAAAGAGTTGTTCTTGAGTTTACGCTCCAGTCGTTGGCCATTTATTGAGTCGAATCGAGTTTAATTCGTTAATATAGTGAGTGGATAAAAGAGCTGGTACTTCTTGAATCAAGATCGAGTCTATATTGAGTCGAGTAGAACTTAATTCGTTAACAAAACGAATTGATAAAAGAGCTTGAACTACTTGAATTTAATCTAGCGCATTTATCGAGTTGAGCCAAATTCAGTTCGTTTACAAAACGAGTCGATAAACGAGCTTAAGCTACTTGAGTTTAAGCTCGAGTTGTTACCGAATCGAGCTGAGCTCAGTTCATTAAAAAAACTGAGTTGATAGACGAGCTTGAACTTGGCTCTTTTTTCAATATTTATCTAATCGAACTCGAATATTAACTAGCTGAATTTGCAGTTGACAGAGTTATAAAAAAAATTGTATAAAAATATTTTTCTTAGAGTCCTATACTAAAAGAGTTTTAAACAAGTCGGGTTCGAATCATTGATCAGAAGTCTGCTTTATACTAAACTAGTATGAATCCCGTGCGATGCACAGATAAAAAATATTCATTAATATTTATAAATTATAAATGCTCATTAAATAATATTTATAAATTAAAAATATTGAATCAATATGTAATACGATTTACCTATATTAATTTGTTGAAACTGTTATATGAAATTTACATTGTGCAAAATTACATAAAACATGTGTATTTAAATTAGTACATAACTCGTACGGTGCAATAACTGATAATAAGTTACATTATATTCATTTAAAAAATATATGTCATTTTAAAAGTTTTATTCAGAAATTTGATTTGACTACAATGTGATTTAAGTAAAAACAAACCTTTATATATATATATATATACACACACACACACAAACACACACACGAAATAATTTGATATGTTCCACGCACGTTTGCAAAGAAGAATCGGTCATAGTATTATCCAGATTTTTCTTTCATTAATATCGAGTAAAATGCTTAGCAATATGAAAAAAAATATTGTGATACCATTTATTACCATAAACGGGTATATTGGATCAACTTAACCACGAAATTAATTACCCAACGTACAAAACAAAATCAAGACCCACGTTTATTATAGTTAAAAATAAAAAAGACCCAAATATAGTTATTAGAAAATAATTAAATAGAAACTGTCATTAATACAATTATTTTAGAATAATTTTATAAGAAAATATAATTGAATAAATCAACCGAACTTACACGATCTGCGTAATTATGGTATCTTTAAAATGTAATTTTTTTCTAATTATTTTCTTAATTATCCACGATTTGAGCAATTAAATACACAAAAAAATGAATAATGTTTATTAAATAACATATAAATAAAAATTGTCATTAACACAACTTTTTATAATAGTTTTTACAAACTGCATAATTAATTACTATTGTCGATATTTCCGTAATTGTAGTAATTATTTACAGCTTGAAAAAATCAATCAGATTTACACAATTTACGTAATCAAGGTATATTAAAATGTATTTCATAAAAGAATTACACGAAAAATATAAAACACTTATTAAACAATAAATTATACAATTTAGTTGGATTTTTTTTACCAAATCACATAATTAATATTGCAGCCGAAATTTCCATATTTGAGTAAATCATCCAATTCACCTGATTTGAGTAATTAAGATATCTTAAAAGTGAATTTGCCATAAGTAATTATTTGAAATATACCATAAATTGTTAAATTAATTTGAGTAATTAAGGTATTTTAAATGAATATTTATATGGCTTAATTATTTCCTTAAATTATGAGCCGCAATTTCTATAAGTGATTATTTGAAATATATCATAAAATCTTAAATTAATTTACCAGAATAGTAATAGATTTTTTTGGAGAGAAATAACTACTATGTAAAAAATAATCAAACTTATATATATATATATATATAGATATAGATATAGATTGCATAAAAACTACAATTTCCAATTTTAAATACATGAACTCTGAGTTTGACTCGTTATTTTAAGAGCCGAATTGAACCAAGCTACCGAGCCAACTCATCTCATTGTGCGTGAACTCGGAGAAAGATATAACTCTTGTATTGCGGCTATTGCCTATTAAACCCTAGCTTACTGAAACCACCCCAACAGATGCAAAAATTAACCCAATAAAGATGGAAATCGCAGAAGAAATGGAGATAGAAGAAGAAAATCCAAGCCCAAAGCCTAGCAATTTGAAGCGTATAGGTCTGAAAAACTCAATCCAGACGAATTTCGGAGATGACTACGTCTTTCAAATCGTCAACAAGTATATTTCATCGTCACCTTCGCTTTATTTCGTTTATTTTCGGTCTGCTGCTGTGGTTCCTGGTTATGGATGCAATTGCTTGTGATTGAAACTTTCAGGCACGACTGGGCGTCGATGGCGGTCTCGCTCTCGACGAATGCGGTGAAGTTGTACTCGCCGCTTGCCGGACAGTACCTTGGGGAGTGCAAAGGTCATTCTTCAACCATCAATCAGATTTCGTTTGCGGGGTCGTCGGCTCCGCATGTGTTGTACTCTTGCTCGTCCGATTGTACCATTCGAGCTTGGGATTCAAGGTCTTTCCAACAGGTTTTATCCATCTTCAGTCTTCATTAACATTTGTTAAAGTATGTTTTGTTCTTGATTCTGGTAATACAAGCTTTTGTCTGAACTGGTGACTGCTTTGTCCGGTTCTGAATTGATAATCAATTGATGCGGGTTCTTCCGATGAAAAAAAAAAAAAAACTCGGGTTATGAAGAGTATCAAATTCTACTAAATTCTAATTTATTCTGAAATTAAGTTGGCTAATGGGTTAGTAAAGTGAGGTAATCATATGTTGATAGGTAATCCATGCCTGTAGAAGATTATCTTGAGGTTGTGACGTGATGTATTGCAATGCAGGTGTCTTGCATAAATACAGGGCCTTCACAAGAGGTTTTCAGCTTCTCTTTTGGTGGGCCCGGTGATAATCTTCTTGCAGCAGGATGTAAGTCTCAGGTATATATCCTTTTCGCTCAAGTTCGATAGTTTGATATTCAACACGTGGATATTCTAAATTGATAGTTATTGATAATAAGTTAGCTTTTAGCTTTGTTGTATCCTTTAACCTCCCGGTATTCAAAATGTACGCTCGTTACATGATAGAAATTATGTCAGTGCTCTTACTTATATCAAACTTCCAAGATATTATTTTCTCTCCCTGCCCGTCCTTGTTTTATTTATTGCTGCTTACTGTCCCGTCTTTGTTAATAGAGGCAAAAAAACAACTGAAGCTTTTGGAAGTGATTACTTCTCATTCATTTTTTAGTTCAATGTATCTGCATCAATGTGTGTTCGGGAGATGTACAACGTTTGGTGTTGTATGTATATAAATATCAAATCATTATATTCACTGATCCCCTACGGTATTGTGTATTGTATATAAATCATACTGTGTTCTATATATTTCACCCTAGGAGTTATTGTTAACATATTGTTCGTTCTTTGCTGTTGGTTGCTTGATAAAGATACTATTTTGGGATTGGAGGACAATGAAGCAGACAGCATGCTTGGAAGAATCTCACATGGAGGATGTTACACAGGTAATATTTTCGGTTTCTTCAGTACAAAGTAGCAATTTCAATCAACAGTAACTAGCCTTTTAATACCACCAATAACCTTAATAGATTTAAAAGAGATTAACATTACAAATGAAATGACTGAATATTATAGAGTGTACATCGAATATTTAGGTGTTGTTCTCTATGCAATTTGGCAGTCATTTTATTCGCTTATTTTGGTGAAATGCACAACAACTGTTACTTTGAAATTCTTGTTCTCAAACAATAAATGTAGGTTCACTTTGTTCCTGGTCATTCAAACAAGCTTGTTTCTGCTTCGGTTGATGGATTAATGTGTCTGTTTGATACCAGCGGAGATATTAATGATGACGATCATTTAATATCAGTAAGTGAGAAGATTTCCTCTAGTTTGTTTATGAGAGTTTGATAGACATTTTGCACTGATAGTCTTTCTACAAACTGCAACAAGGTGTACAATGTAGGAACCTCAATCGGAAAAGTGGGATTTTTTGGAAAGGCAAATCAGAAGTTGTGGTGCTTGACACATATTGAAACCTTGAGGTACCTCTGACTATGTATTGGTCTGTGCATGTTGTTTGTAGTAACATCCATCATCAATCATGGCTTTCATTTTCCGGTCATGGATCCTTGAGATGGCTTATGCCGCACGATATATCTGCATAATTTATTGTCTAGCTGCTTGCTAATTTTTTTTTTCTTTTCTTTTTAGTGTTTGGGATTGGAATAACGCGACAGCTGCTGAAGCTACCTTTGAAGATGCTCGAGGTTTGGCGTCCGACAGCTGGACTTTAGATCATGTATGTTTAACATTAGCACAAATTGTCGAATTTGTTAGTGAAAATGACTGTTTGAAGTGTTCCCATTTATTCCCGAATTTTATTTTTTTCTATGTTTTGCTCATATTATTGTAAGATCCTTAAGAATTTCTAAACATCCTTTCTCTTAACTGCCTGCAGGTTGATTATTTTGTGGACTGTCATTATTCGACCGAGGAGGATCGTTTATGGGTTATTGGAGGCACGAATGGTGGCACGTTTGGATATTTTCCGGTCAGCTATGGAAGTGCAAAGACAATTGGTTCTCCAGAGGCGGTTTTTCATGGTGGCCATACTGGTATTTTAAGGACTGTGTTGCCTATGTCGAGCATAATTGGCCGGAAGTCTAAGAACAATGGTATCTTTGGATGGTCGGGCGGTGAAGATGGCCGAATATGTTGCTGGTTATCAGACGACACAGGAGAGACCAACTGTTCGTGGGTTTCGAGTGCTTTGGTTGAAAAATCATCGAAAACAAAGAGGAAAATGAGGCATAGTCCCTACTCCAGAGCTTGATTGACTACATAATTCATAGGAATGTTATTACAGTGTAATTCCGTTTTATTTTATTTTTCCCCTTGAGGAATTACAGACTTTTGCCGTTAACGTATGGGAAGCTCAAGGTTTTGTCTAAAATTTTTATTTTTGTGTTCGGTTTTTCTACTACCAAATTTTGTTTGTGTTTTTGGCTTTTAGGCTACCATTGAATAGTCTTTATTATAAATTTAGTGTATTAGCTGATTGATTCAGTTGTTTCTAGATGTTCTTTATTTTGTAAATACTTGTGTTTACTAATATAGAGTTTGTCGTTTCAAAAAATAAAAAAATAATAAAAATCCAAATTTCCACATTTGGACTTTCTGAATTAGTAATTATGTGATCCTTTATGGTGTTCTTCACCTTCTACCGCTGATTATGCTAACAAGTCTTGAATTTCGTCGGGCCAACCAGAAGTTCTTTTACCCATGGCTTTGAAGGCTCTAGCTTACTCACTTTCGTTGTTTAACTACAATGTGAAGCATAATACGTTGCGTTTCTTTTGGGCTTATGTTAATGGATCATTCTTTAAGTAGTATTGGGCTAGAGTCCGAGGGCAAGATTACACAGTTTCACCTCCTGTCCTCATGCAGGATGAGGCATCAACAAACATACACCAACTTCCATATTTTAAAATATTATGTTTTTGCACGGGCTTTCACATCTCATCCGAAAAAATAATCTGATCTCTTAAGTACCTCATCTTTTAACACAAAAAATTGTAACTGGACAATGTAAGTTGTTTAGACGAATTGTTTGACAGTTCTTTCAATTGAAAGATAATTTCGCAAACAAATTGCAAGGGATGTAGTTTCTGATGCTGAAAATTAGCTACATTCCAAATGGCATAAATCAGCTAACCAGAATTCAGCCATCGATTAACATCAACCACACAAACAAATGTAAATAGTAATAACGAACTGGTATAAGTTAGCGAAAGCACAAAACGGACAAATTTATAGAACAAAACCCAGAAGGGCATCAAGACAAGAAGCTAGTGGTCTTAAAAAATATAAAGCGACCACATTTTCAGTCTTCAAGTATGCGTAACCTCACAACCAGGCTTCAACGGCCACGACCTCCACCCCCACCTGTAAAAATAAGCGACAAAAAATTAAGAGCGTGCTTGGATACAAATATATCTGCTCAAAACGAGTTTTTTTAGTTAATCATAGTTAATTTTGAAAAAGGTGGTCTGATTAGTTAGTGAAATTTAAGTTTATATTAAAATAATTAAAGTTGATCTTACGTAAAAGTAAGAGAGATGATGTGAAGTGATGGTTAGTTGAAACTATATGAGTACATGAATAGTGAATTAAAGTTAATATTGTGTAAGAATAATTAATTGGTATTATTTAATTATATTGATAATATGGAGGATAATGAGGTTGAGGTAAAATTTAGTTACACTTTGAGTATGGATTGAGTTTATTTATAAACAAAGACACCCTAAGGTACTGAATTTTTATCCACATCGCTCTTGATGGAAAAGAAAAATCTCAAGCAAAGGTACAATAATGCTCAGGTATCGTTTAACAGCAAATTCGCCAAACACAAATTGAAGAAAGAAGATATTTGTAAAATCTGGAAACAAGAAAAGATTTCAAGATACCAGAGACCAAAATATACAAAATTATGAAAAATAACCTCGATTTCCACCAGCCCTTCCTCCAGATGCAGCCCTGCCTCGGCCTCCACCTGCACCTCGGGCGCCTCCATCCTCCATGCCACGGCCAATGCCTTTCGGTTTTGGCCCATCTTCTCTACCTCTTCCTCTTCCACGCCCTACTCCAGGTGGCTTTCTATCTGTAATGAAAGAATCACATTTTGAGTTTTTGAAGAATTATCTCGAGTTTTTAGGTGAGATGAAAAGAAACTTCGAACTGAATTTGAACATAAGGGTTGAATCAACTACACATCGGGGAGTGCAAATGGAAAATAGACACACGAAAAAGAGAATAATGAAAATTTGAGGCAACGAGTGGGGAAGCCAAAGAAGTATGCAGAATAAATAGAAAAAAAGTGGGGCTCCACCCCTTCCCAACCCCTAATTACATGTCATCAAGGAGACCNGAGAATAACAACCGTGGAAATATGAATTGTGGACTCCTTGTATAAACAAATAACATAACTTCTCTCAGTCATAATATGGTTGGTTTCCATATAAATACCACATTTCTTAGTTTTTCTAAAAAAAAAACAAGTTGTTCCTACACTCCATAACATGTCAGCTGACAAAGATTTATTAATTTTTATAAAAGAACTTAATGAAAAGCTATATCAGAAAAGATATTACCAGAACGGCTTTTTGTCTCCTCCTGAACTTTATCAATCACCTGCAAATATAACACATCAAAAGTTGTCAGAATGCTCTGATACTTTACATAAACCACGATCCATAACCTAGTCAGTGAGCAACAGATTAATATGATTTTAATTAGAGGACTGAATGAGCCGATCCTAAACAATGTTCACGGGCTTAGAAGGGGGAATCCGAAATTATCCACAAATCAGGTTTATCATCTAAGAAGGAATTTTCTGGGGAAGCCAGAAACTCAAAAGTTGACCAACCGGGGGGAAAGAATGGTCCACTAACAATAAAAGATGCTTCTGACAATATTACACATATTTTGCTGGTCAAAATTACAAGAGGGATCACCCACGCCATCAACATTAGACAGAAAACATCACTGCAAATTAAAAAATCAATAAGTGAAAAATAAGAGAGATACCTCATCTGGAACTCTAAGATACTTAATTGTGTTCCCTCTTATGTAGCACTCAGGCATTCGCCAAAACCTATCCCCATCCTGTAAAAGATGAAAACCATGCTAACTCAAAAATATTCTAGGTGAAATCAGGGAACGAAACTTTGTCCACGGAATATTACATTTGACGGTAGTTCTATAACACACAAAAACATATTTACCAAAATGACAAGCATAGCAGTTTGAAAGAAAAATAAATAAATATTAAAATTCATAATTAAGTAAAGAAAATAACTACCTTTGAAGTGCATATAACTTCACGAAGATGGATGTTCATCCAAGTGTCACAATTAACCAAGTGACCATTGTATGTTTCCCCATTTTTCAGTTCCACCAACTGTCAATCGCACATATAACCATATATCAGTTAACCATTTTGGACATTTTTCTGTAAAAAAAAAATGATTGTAAACGCAAACACATATGCTGTCATTATGGACAGTTGCAAAATAACCAAGGTTGAATTGAACATGAACATATGAATAAAATTCGCATGTGGCTTCAATTACTTGGGAGGATTTAAGGGGGAACAGTCGGAAGAAACTTTCAATTGCTCTACTAACAAAAAACGAGGAAACCGTAGGTAAAAAGGAAAAAAATAAACAATAGACAGAATAGAAGGTAAACAGTAGGAATACTCGGGGCAAAGAAGTGTACCATAGGGTGACCTTGTGCAGTCTTGAGCAGAGAAAGCGGAAGCTTCAACAACCAAAAAAAATAAAAAATCAATCAATCTCAAGCTCACAAACACACAACAGTAACCGATAATTCAAAAATTCCAAAACAACAAACAACAAATCAATCAGCCTCAAGCTCAGAAATCCACAACAGTAACCGAAAATCCCAAAAAAATCAGAAAGTAACAAAAACCCTAGCATTCAAGAGGTGGAACAAAGAATTACCATATTTTATCTCCGGCGGTAGAAAACGCAACCAGCTGCATAAAATCACGACGAGAAGAACAAAAACAAACACAAGAAAATCAGCAGTCGTACAGGCAACTCACGTTACAGAACGGAAAACAGAAAGTACAAAACCCTAATCGCGACAGCAGTTTAGAACAGGAGACAGCGGCGCGGGCCATACCAATTACGACGTCCACAGAATAGCACACCGGAGCCTTCTCTTCTTCTTCTTCTCTGTTTCTCTCTCTGGACTCTCTCTCTCTACTCTATGATCAATTGATTGTGAAAATAAAAAAGATCGGCGCGTAGAGATAACCAGTGAGAACCTCCGACCTTCAGCTCAATTTTCAACTCGACCTTCACAAATTAATTTGAATTTTAGCCCTCCCAGTTTCTTATATATACACAAAACGATTATTAATTGCGATTTTTTTTTTTTTACACTTCAGAAATAAAATAAAATAAAATGAAGTTTCAATAGTTAGCATGTTCCCAACTCCAAGACCCTAAAGAAATTGGAATAACAAATTTTGTCTACTTAATTAATAAAAATATATACGTATAAATAAATATTATCTTTATTTATATGATATTATAAAATATGATAATTGAGCATCAAAATATAGATGTATATTGATTGAAATATATAATTGTTTAACCATTTAACATCCTAACATTACTGTTTAAACTAATTGCGTCACTTACGTAAATTGTACAATATAAAAACTCTAGGCTTGTTAACTGTTAATCAGTTATACTTTTTCTTTTAACAAAATAACATGTTTATAATATTAAATTTCATACTCCTATTTATACTATTTTGTAAACTATGATATTTTAGTATGGAAATTGGAAATTGATAAATCTATTGAAGAATGCAACCTGGCATGACTGATCAATGTAATTATGTTTCAACAGACCGATTTTTTTTTTCTTTTTTCAGAAAAATTAGATTAAAAATATTTTTCTCAGGCAACAACTACTAACAGAAGAACCCAGTAATCCAGAAAAGGGCCAATCTACATAATTTATACACTAATCGAGCTACAACAGGAAAACCCGGAATTACGATTCTATCATCACAACTCCATATCGTCGTCATAAACTCTCTTACGAACTGTTCTTAAGTCGACCAAGTGGCGCATTGTGGGCCTGCCATGTGGACAGTTCCAAGGAGACTTGAGCACAGCCAAATGCTCTAATATCTGCATGAAAGGGAAAAGAGGAGAAAGGGGTTATATATTTGCTTGTGTAGCAAAAAGTGGTGAAATTTCAATTTACATGTTGTATTAATAAAGAATATATACCAAGAGGGGCAGGGTAATTTACAAAGAGATCCGATTATCTTTCAAAAATTACATAAAATCCATTGACATTGTCTCATCTACAATTTGCACATTGAGGCCTCTGAGAATGCGAAAAACGGGAGTTTTTGTAATTAGTCTGAGCATGCTTGGATATAAATTATTCCTAAAAAAGTTCAATCATTTTTAGTCAATCACTTTTTTTAACTCAACTTTTAACTCAATCTCACTATCATCAATATAATTAAATAATAACACTCAATCATTCTTGCACGTTACATCAACTTTAATTCACTATTCATCCACTTACATAATTTTAACTAATCATCACTTCACATCATCTCTCTTACTTTTCCATCAAATTAAATTTAAATTATTTTATTTTAAATATTATTTTAGTATAAACTCAAAAACTTGCTAACAACTAACATACCACATTTTTCAAAGTTAACTTTGAGCAGATATATTTGTATCCAAGCACGCCCTTAGTTTTTTAGGGTTATTCTTCGGCATCAAACCCGTGAAAAACCATTATGGCGGGAGTCTGCCTGAACAATTCTTCTTGTGATGATGACTTNGTGATGCCAGCATGGCGCGTACTTTTGGTGGGCAAATCGAATCGGCCATGTCTGTTCTGTAACTGCCAATAATGGTGCATTCTCCATGACTATCAGTGAGAATAGATATAAGCTCCTTGATATCTGTGGAAGAACAAACATAAAGCAAATTATACCCCGTTCAGGAGTCACTTGTGTTTTCCCCACACTTCATTTGGGATGGATAGTGAATAATCTCATATGACATCATCTTGAAACACAGAATAGATCACACGTCAACATAAAGACAAATAATCTGCAGTCCTCGTCAAAACTCTAGCAATCCATCCGATTTCATTCAGATAAGAAGTTTTAAGTTAAAATATCAGTTTTATGAATTTAAAGCATTCCCATATTACCTGCAATTCCAAAAGTTATATTTTTGCTGAAGGGAACTGCTTTCAGTATAAACCTATGCCCAGAAGGAGCGTGTATGTCCTCCTCCAGTAAAAATCCATTTTTCCTAAAATTTGAGAGTAGTACGAAGGCATATATCAATAAATACTGAAAATTACAAAAGAAATGTCTAATTTGGAATTAGAATCTACAGATGGGATGCGGTCGCACAGATAAATCAAGCCTAGCATTTTATTTAAATGCATTGTTGAAGAAATTTAAACAGATAGATTATGGGATTTAGGAGCAGAAGCACTAAATAAATCAGACCAGACTAAGAACATAATCTGGAAATCACTGGCTAGGACAAACCACATATAGGCTATAGCATGTTATGGCATGTTTTTTAGAAATTTTGAACAAATGGGACAAGCTAAGACTAAGCTAAGACTAACACAAGGCCCAACATCTTCAGGAAGTACTGTTCAAGAAGATAATCAGCTTTAGTGTTTGCAATCACTGGGACTTGTACTCCATGCATCCTGGTGCTAATAAAGCAATCAGATCTATATGAAATAGAAGTTACAAAAATTATGACAATCATATTACCCACAATGTAGGAAATCAGAAACTTATGTTAGACATTTTGCAAGAAAGCCCCAGCTGAAGACCGTATATGAATGATCTATGAAAGGTCCCAGACAAGGAAATAAAGGAAATCGGGTTGACTGATCACACACAATCCAAGGTAAACGAACAGTGGAATAAGAGGAAGAGGGACCCCTGAGAACTCAGACCTGAAGGTATCCATGTGCATGGAGACGACTATCTCTTCTTCTGGAGCAAGCTCCATTTTTAATGGCCTGAATTAATGAAGGCACAATATGTGAGAAGATGAGATAACTTAAGAGAGAAAGGCAGCATTTCCAATTCTGATTTTAAAATAACTTATTATTCCAACGAGTCATATACGGAGAGGAAGAGGATCAAAGTGCTCTCACATCATTAAGAATCCAAATTGAATGCCTTACCGAAGCAAAGGTTGCTGATTCAAAATGGTTGTTTGCGACAAGCGCTCGTAGTTGTATTTTTCATCTGCAGCATGCTGATGGAAAACCACAATAATCAAACTTGCTTGAGTATATATTAACAAATAAGTAAAAGAACTGCTAATTATATGGAGAAACAAGAGTAGATAGATCACCTGATCCACTATAAAAAGGTCCTGATCTAACTTGCCAATGATGAATCCAAGATTAAATTGTCCTACCACCTGAATAACAAACATTCTTTCTCAAGAGACCCTTGAACATTTAACAAAGATGACACAATAGAAGTAAAATCATTTGGACCATTGATTTTTTCGCAATGTCAATCATGATATTCCTTATTGAGGAACATGAGTTGAAACCTGCATCTGTTCAAAGTCACCCTTCTTAAACAACCTTTCCAGCTCACTGGTAGCAGCCGCTAAAGCTTTAGCCTTCCCCTCTTCATTTACTACTTGTGAGAGCTCCAACGATGCTGCAGCAAACTCACTGTGGCTGAAAAATGTAACAAGTCAACTAAAAATAGAAAAATTATAGTACTCCACATTGTTTTCAACTGTTTGTGAGAGAATTAACTTTTTTTGTACCTCCCTAATTTCATTCTTCCAGATGCATTACTAGTGTACCCCAGTCTAGATAGCCTCTGCTTCCTTCTCGACATCAAATCTTTAAAACTGAACTGCAATGAAAAACCAACTTTTGTACCAGAAGAAGCCACTGGAGAGTCAACTGATACAACAGAAGGTCGCAAAGGGATAGGTGCATCTGCAAGGCCTTTCGGAAGTTGAGAGTCTGTGCTAAGTGAAGCTGTTGGTCCAGAATCCGCATCCTGTGCCCTCTCTGGAGTTCTCTGCTCCCCCAATTCGATATCCTGCATCATATAGTATATAGTACAACTTAATGTATAAACCATAAATTCTCATCAATTCTGAACAATATTCCACAAAATTCCTATGGATTTGTGTTCACTTTATGGAATTCATTCCATAAAACAATAAGACAAGCTCCACATTAATAGAGAACTTTTATAGAAAGGAATACACAGAACTCTATACCTCTGTGGCTGCACTTAGCTTTCTGTCCGTACAAGGAAAAAGAACACCTGCATCTTCATCATCCCTGGTATTTTGCTTTCTGTCGCCACAAGGAAAGAGAACTTTCATACCCGCTTCACTAAATACACTCTTGATACCAGAAACTTTGTCTGGTTGAGACTCACTACGGCTGCTTTTACTGGAACCATCAAACATAACCCGGTTGTCCGCAGATATTTGAGATGCAGTACACTTCAAAGAGTTATTTTCTCTTAATTTACCCATATGAGATCCACTGCGAAGGACTGGAACCTCAGACAATGCAGTTTCAATACTTTCATGTTTTCTCTTATTTACAGTGACAAAGTTGTTGAGTGACATCTGTACACTACTCGAATGCCTAAGTGGACTAATGCTATTAACAGCACCCTTCTGGATTGACCTTGACTGGAGAATCTCCTGTTTGTAAGTTTTGTCTGAAACTAAATCGGTATTTTCCTCATCAGGACTTTCAGAATATTTGTTCTTCTGATTACCACGAATTCCAAGTGAATACTCTTCTATCACTGAACAAGCCCCATCTCTCTGCATCAACACCTCACCAAAAGAATCTCCTGTGTTATCTTGAGCTGTCACCTGAATGCCATTATTTTTTTTGTCATCCCTTTCATGAACTACACTTTTGTCCGGAATTAAGTGCTTCGCAAGCCTTTGAGATTTCTCTTGTGGAGAATAAATATCGGATGTGCGCATGTCCTCATTGAGTTCATCTATTTTGTTTACTGAAAAACTAACCTGGTTAGATGAATAAATCTTCTCTAAAGCTTCTCTTAAGGAATGTAAAATCAAACTCTCATCAGAGAAAAATATCTTCCTTTTGTCAGGGGTAACATTCACATCATATGCCCGAGTTGGAACAGAAAAGTTCATAATGGCAATAGGATATTGTTTAGAATTTGCGCCTCTGTACAACTCGTTCACAACCTTACCAACCTTGGGCATATCCACTGGACGACCGTTAACGTAAAAGAATTGGCGATCCCCTATATTTCGCCCGCTTCCATTTCCGGACTTTGAAACAAAGCCTTCAACCACACAACCATCTGATAAGATTAGATTTACAGGCTCTAAGCAGGAAAAAGTACTCGTACCCAGCACTGAGACGATATTCTCCCTGAGGGATCCACTACCCTGAGTCTTCAACACTACAGACCGTGCATTTTTCCCTGTTGTGTTGGTGCAAACTATTCTAACTCCTTTAGCAATGAGAGCATAGGCCTGTAAATGGCTAGTGAATCAGAAGTGCCATTTGGGAAGATATACACTTCCATATCAAAGTCCACATGAGCACAAAGACAACGACACATAATAATTTCCTTATCTAGCAATAAGAAGCAGAAAGAAAATATATACTGAAAATAAAACTTTTCATCAACAATATTCAACTCCCGAGACATAAAAGGGCTTAAGCATATGCATTATGCACCATCTGAAGAAACCCTCTAGCACCTAAATGAGAAATCACAATAAACAAAGATCAACATCGAAAAAGCATATCAACTTACATTCAACAAGCTGATTAGTTTGCCATATTCCTTGCGAATATTTCGCTGGAACTCTTTGCTCCGGACAGGCAAAGTTGAGAACAGTTTCCTGACGGTAACTGTAGTACCAACTTGGCGTGCCGACTTCCTCTCAGCTGTCAGAATTCCTGTCCGATCATATGTCAGGTGTGTCGCAACTACCTCATTCACTGTTCGAGTTTCCACGGTCAATTCCCCTAAAGCACAAAGTGAGCTCAATGCCTCACCCCGGAATCCGAAAGTTGTCAGCACTTGAAGGTCTGGAAAATCCAAGAGCTTTGACGTGTGGTGTTTCAGGGCCAGAACCTGCCATAGAAAATTAAAATTATAATATCGAACATAAAGAGATACACATACAGCTAGAAATTAAATTTTACTTCATGGCCCATGAAAGACTGAGATTTCAAAGCACAAAAATTTTCTACGAACACCATGTTTGAAACATGATGTTTCAGCGCTGTCTTCAGTACATTCAATCCCATGTAGCAGTGCTGTTGATCCATAAAATTGAACACACTGAGCTAAAGTAACAAGCAAATAAACTATACCCATTGCCCAATAGCAGAGACTGAGTTTCTACAACACAAAACCCAAATCAAATCCGTCTTTAACTGATATGTTTATTCATTTCATTTTTTTTCCAAGTAAACCATGAACAAAATGGAACCACAGTTGATAACTAACTAAGACATGGGCGGAGGAGAAGCTCGGAAAATTACTTTGAAATTCTCAGGAGAAATTCCGGAGCCATTGTCTATAACTTGCAATGATTCCTGCCCGTAGTCCTTCAGGGCGATCTCGATGCTGGTGGCGCCCGCGTCGAGGCTGTTCTCAACGAGCTCCTTCACCGCGGACGAGAGGTCGAGAATAACCTGACCAGCACAGATCCGGTGGACGACACTCTTGTTTATCGGCCTTATGGCTGAAGGCTTCCCAGCTCTACCTTCCATGGCGGAGAATCACATGGATTTTTTAGAGCTTTAGCTGTTTCTGCTTGTGGTTTGTGCTCCTGAACTGCTTTTAGGGTTGGTGTAATGCTATCAGAGCAAGCAACTGGAAGAAATTGCATACAAATTCTGCAGAATTCAGCTGGGGTATGTGGTTGGTACTTGGTTGTCTACGGGGAAGAAACCCTAGGCCGAGGGTGTAGAGTTCGAAGCTTTTGGCGCCAAAACTGCGATTGCCGGCGAAAGATGTGATTCAGTGATCGATGGTGAATAGTGAATTGATCCGTCATCATTGTACCTTTACAGGGGGACAAGATGAAATCTAGAAGAGAATAGACTAAACTAACAAATTATACCACCAAGGTGTCGTGGTGTAGTTGGTTATCACGTCAGTCTAACACACTGAAGGTCTCCGGTTCGAGTCCGGGCGACGCCATTTAATTCAATTTTTATTAGTACTTATTGCCAATTTTTTATTCTTCTTTTATTAGTTTTTGACGGTTAAAAACATTTTTGGGCAATGGCTGGTACTTGTAGTTCTTGGAAGTTGGAACAAAGAAAGTCCCATTAGTTTAGAAAATAAATAGAAAAAATATTTATAGAACTTTTAAATTCAAATTTAATATTTGGGTTAGGACCGTTTTGCAAAATATGAGCACCCTTTTGCAAAATTGCAACATTATCTATCACCACCCTGTTTCAATAAAGCATCCATACAGAAAATCATCCTATAGTAACATAATTTACCACCCAACATGTTCCAATAATTTAGCATTTATACAGAAAATTATCCTATAGTAACATAAACTATGACATATTACCAGAAATTCTACGGTGCCCATTGGGACACCATAAGCTATGCCACAATCACATGTGGTACATGAGGTGGCTTTAGTACTTATACTTATCAATTCTTACATGGCATAAATTAAGTGGCTTTTTTAAAGATTTTAACATTAAAAATTAATTAAATGGCCTTTTTAAAGATTACCACTTGAAGCACTTCGCATCCAACAAGGCCTCTCCATCAAAGGTCGATTATGATAAAGGTTGGAGGATTGTTTTGCGATTTTATTTTTGGTTATTTTGCAGCCGATGGGGATAATTTTCGTTTATGGTGCTCAATTATAAGTTATATTTGGTTTTGAGAGTCTTGAATTTTGATGTATGTGGTGTGGTGAGGTTTCAGTGGAGTTTTTGAACCAGTATATGTAGGGAGGCTTTTTATCTAGTTTGAACCTTTACTTTTTGAATTTTTCTAGTGTTAGATTTGAACTTAAATTTACAATTCCGTCTCATGTTTCGTGGTGAAAACTTGTCTCTGTAATTTTCGTTTATGATCGAGTCATGTTAGATCATTTTAAACGTTTATTACGTACATATCACGATCTTATTTTACACATTACATCATCTTTATAATATTACAACAGATTTATAAACAAATTCATGACATAATGGCTAATATGAAATATCACAATACATCGAATGTTCAAGAAAGAGATTAAAGCGTTCAACTGTATCACTACAAAATACTGTCATTGCTAACAAAAAGCATCAGAAGGGCAAAGCAAAAGACCTGACTAGGTATAACCTTGAAGCATCCATTAGTGTCTCTCTTACTTTACCAAATTAAGGATGGTTCAAATATAAATTGTTACCAAAACCTCACAAAGAATAGAACACCAAATATCGAATAACAATGGATGCAACTAATATATTACCTCATAAAAACACTTTCTCGTGCTTGAGTAATAAAAGGTATCGGCCCTTTTGTGGTCTAAAATCTAAATGCGTAATAATAAATAAGTATTGAAATAAATATCAATACGACCCACTTGCTATCATGCCTTTCTTGTTGATGGATATAGTCCAGAGGAGGTCGACATCAGATTGCACGGTCACTATTTCCCCTCTTACGATATTTGAAGTGCTGATAAGTCCTCCAAATCTCATTTCCATATCAGCTGAAAAAACACAGAATATTCGGGATGAAATTAGCAAAGCATTTGTCAATAAAGCAAATTTGTCTTTGTATCAATCGTAAGGCAACAGAAAGTGAAAACCATTCACAAAGGCATGGATAGAGTAATGATGATGCTGATGGGTTAAACTTATTGTGTGACAATCTTATGACCCCAAATTAGTAATAATCGTCCACGAGATATGAACTGATTACGAAAAAAATTGCACTCACTGCTCAAGAATCCAGATTACAATTGTCCTGTAAGAGATATAACAAAACTCTCTCATGATTTAGTTACAACTTATGAAATACCTCTCTTGAAGATGCAACGGCTATGTTTGGTAACCAAATAAGCTAGCTAAGAGCTTATTTGGTTAGCTTATAAGCTTCATGTATTAAATAAACTTCGTTTGGTAGGACGGACTTTTTTTAAAAAGCTCGAGTTTATCTCATAAGTTTATTTGGGTAGCTTTTCAAATAAGCTCGTTGAAATTTTTATTTCAGCTAGCTTATGAGCTAATTTTACGAAACAGTTTCATCATATAAGCTAGTTTTTCAGCTATAAGTAATAAGCTATCAGCTAGTTTTAACCAACATAGCCGAAATGTTTCCATGTTTCCAGTTTATTTTGTTTTCTTATATATATATTTGCTATAGCTTNAAAATTGAAGTGAAAGACAAATATCTGACAGTGCATAATGTGATTATAATTTATACACTCACAAAGATTCCACTGAAGCCCAGTGGTTGTACTACTTTTTGAAGGTCCGCAAATAGGGATGAGCCCACAATGAGGTCCCTCAACGGACGGCTGGATATAAATCTCATGATGAAAACTGCTTGGAAGAAGTTGGATGAGGCAATCATCCGATAGTAGAACTATCCTTGTGTTTGGAAAACGGCACAGAACATTGATATTTCCAATCTCGTGGTCAAACCTTCCACCAAGTGCTCCAGCAACAAGAATGCAAAACTGAAAGCAAAATAAGTCGACTGATTATTCACACCAAATAAAAAAAAAAAGAGAGAGAGAGAAAATATGTCCAGATTTTTCAGAAAGATGAAATAAAAAGAACTATACTTCTTGATTCTTCAAAGTCGGCATGTCCTGAATATATGCAACGCATTTATGCAAGTCTGTAGTATCCTGATCATCTGAGGCATCAATTACTTCGGTTCCCTGAATTTGGAAAAGCAACTTAATATACAGAGGATAATAACCGGAAATAAATTGAAACTTCAAGGTAGTGCTTAAGTAGCCTTTGTGATAATCACAAAAATATCAAGGAAAACGGCAACTCTTCATGTTCGAAGCCGATTCAAGTTTTAGTACAATACGGGAGTTTAATAGAGGAAATAAAAAAGAGTCTATAATCCAAAAGATGAATAAATAGCAGATCGGGCAGTCAGACATTCTGGTGTTGCCTATACATATGATATTCTGAGGGAACATTCAACCACCACAAAATATTAGTAATCATCCCATAGACAGAAGGTAACTTAGCTGATATCACAGCTACACAGATTACAACATAAAGATACAGATTCTATTAACATTTTCACATGACTACCCACTGGCTAATAATAGAGTATACTCAGAAATCAAATTTAGAAGCACGCTTTATATCCAAACAGAAACAATTATAAAGAATAATAACATAAAAAATCAGCTAACCAGATCTTTGTAGAATCCCAAAACTTCATCCCTAATTGAATCCATATCTCCTTTAATTGAATTTGGCTTATACCTGAATCAGACAGACAAATACGTATAAGTATTGATTCATAAACAAAAAACTTTCCTCTCCCAAAACTATGTATGATTACTTTTTCTGTTTCAATTGAAGACATCAGGACACTAACTAGCCACATAATTCAACATGCCATAACAACGCAATCCAGCAAGTGCAGGTGTCAAGAAGGAAGTGACAACAACAAATAATCACACAAAACTAGCTTCAAATTTAAAGAAGAAAAATGGCCAATATGTCAAGCATCATTTCTACCCGTACACATTCAAACTATACAAGAATCCATGGTAGATGCACAAAATCAAAGGAAAAAAAGTGCAAACTGCCTTAGCCCATCGAAATCCGCTTATGTGCTTTTGAAAAATAAATAAAAGAAAAGGTAAATGTGTCCACTGTTCAGCTACAACACAAATTCTGGCAGCAAAAATGATCAGCTTTCAGATGCTTCACCCACTGGACATTTCTTATTAAGGTGACTCATCTTTAAGGCCTTAAATTATTGCCGATTTTACACAAAGAACAAATAACTCTAATAAATGTAGTTGTCAATTACAGGACAACACTTGTCTCTTATTTCTCTGAAGTTCCACTGAATTCCAGCATGAGACAAAGAAAAATAACGCACACTTAGGCTAGTGTAATGTAATAGAAGAAACCTTAAAAGCACCCTAACTGCATATGACAAGACAACAAAAACCAAGATCGACTCCATCGAGAACTAGGACACATTATACAAAGAACCTTGTCAGATCAAACATGGCCGCTGACGACAATTATTAACAATCAATCCTATCTTCTTAAAGCAAACCATATACAGCACAATCGACTTCGAACCACAATCTTTCAAGTGCAAATAGGTCAATATCCATTTACTCAACAGTCAACATATAACAATAAATTTCAAGCTCATTCAAAAACCAGTGTCCGTACCTTTTACGAATTTCAAGCTCAACAGGAAACAACGCTAGTTACTCAGATTAAGCCCATACCTTTTACGAATCTCTACAGCGTCCTCATCGGGAAACAACTGCGGCAATTCATCATACAGTCGGTTGGCTCCACCGTCCGCACAGATACGAAGCTGTGCTGCTCTACACAACAAACACCACCCAAAAAAACGAACAAAAAAAAAAATCCGTTAAAAATATCTCACACCACATCACATCACAAACGCGAAAAAGAAAAACACAATCGGCATAAAAAACAAAGGTAATTACCGTGCTTCCAGAGGAGAGGAGTGAACCGAGGAAGACGCTGGTTGAGCACGACGAGCACGTACGTCAACGCGGCGGCTTTGTCGGCGGGAGGATTGGGGAGGAGGAAGGTTGAAGAATGATTCATTATCTCCATGGCCGACAGAATTTGGTCGGACTGTGTAGAATTGACGATGAGGAAGCGAAGACTATTATCAATCTTTGCGGGAAAACAACACTAAAAGGAAAAACAGTGCACAAATGAATAGAAGAATAGTATGTGCCTGTACGGTCAACTTGTCTGCAGTGCTTTTGCCTATTAGACACGGATTGGCCCGGTGGTCCCGCGTCGGCCCGGATGCGAACTCCGATTCGGATATTTGGACCTTTTATCTCCGAGACATTTTTTTTTTTTGTAGTTTTTTCCTAAATATATATTTAATTTTTGGAGTAACAATTATTTATATATATATATATATGGAATAATATTTAGGATGGAGACAATACTAATAATATTTTCAGTTATAATAAAAGTAATAATATTTTATTAATTTATTGATATTTTTAAGGATAGCATATATATAATTTCAAAATTTTTAAATTAATTATTATGTTGTAAAATTGACTCGATCTGATCCGGAGGCCAATTCTCTCTTATGGGTCGAAAAGAACAATAATTCATTGTCGATACATATTCCTTTGAATTCCAATCCGAATTTAAAAGTGTTCCACCGAGCTCATTGAGTCCCAAAAATAAAATCCATCATCTCGTACTTGTTTTGCCACGAGTCACAAAAATAAAATAAAGCTGCCTCATCTCTTTTATGCTAAATATTGCTATCTACAATATTGAAATTATGTAGGTTTATTTTTATGAATCAATTGGAAAATTAATATTAAAAATTACAATTTTAACAAATCTATGTATATATATATTCTAGCTTGTCAATAAATTTTACCTAATAAATAAAACTATTTAATTTTACCTAATAAATAGTGCAAACTTTCCATAGTTACAAATAAGCATGTTTTCAGAAATTGACTTGAAGAAACATAAAAGATATTTTTGTTTTCTAATTTATTTAAATTGCTATATATGTATATATAATTTATATATATCTTTATATATAATTGCTAGCAAAATAATTAATAAAACCTCATTTATTTCCCTCCAAAAGAAGTTACAAGTACTTATTTACTTTATTTTTATTTTTTATTTTAATTAAAATATTAAACAATTCACTAATCAATGAAAATTATATATATCTAATAAAAAATATTTAAATAAAACAAATGAAATTATTTGAATTTTCCGTCTTGTTTCGTTACAATCCAATTGTATTAAAAAAAAGTATACAATGGTTAATTAAAATGTAATTATATTTTTAATTATTCTATTATATAATAGTTATTTACTGAAACTAACCAATTATAATTTATATTAAGTGATATATGGAAGTCTTCTTAAACTTTTTATTGCTCTTAATTATTTTTTTAATAAGCTCACTCGGCTTTAGTGATATAACCAAATCTTTTAAAATTTCAATAATAATAATAATAATAATAATAAATATTTTTTAATATAATTAATAGATCATGATCCCTCAAATATATAAAGTTACATTGTCTATTTCATTTTGTGCAATAAATACAGTGATGAAGTTAAAAACTTTTATAATTAATTTTATTAATGATAAAATTTTTAAAATACGATACTATATATTATCTTACATATAATTTTAATATTATATACATACATGTAACTTATAATAATTTAAACATTGCACAGGATTGAATACTAGTACTTTCNACACACATTGACATGTCCTGAAAAAAGAGGAGAAAAAAAAATCTTCAATTAAAATTTAAAACCTGAAAAATCAGGATTATTTCCAGGATCAAATGTCCCAAAACCATCTTAATAAAAAAGAAGAAGAAAGAAAATATGTTAAAAAAAAAACACCAAACTCTATACAGGTCTGGGTATTTTTGTTCTCTGATACTCTCTCTACATGAAGTAGCTCAGTGATGCCTTCTTCCGAGAACCCCCTTCCCCGTAGAGTTCATTCCACTGGAGAAGCTCATTCATGTTTTGTGACTCAGACGATACGCTTGCGCAAACCTGAAAAACATTTTTCGACAAGCATATATATGTTTAACACGGAAAAAAAAAAATAATAGTCATAATAACAATAATAACAATAATTTAATTCTCACAACATGGCTCGCAGGCTTATCCTGTAGATATGCCTGTCGCCTATGATGCTCGGAGGTACTAACTTTTCATTTTTTTTTATTTTTATAACAAAAATTTCCAAGTAATTTTGTGAAAAATCACCTTGCTTGTGTTTTTGGATAAGTTAGGTACCGACTATCAAAACACCGATTGGTAAAAAAAATTACCGGATAAAATTCAGATCTCTAAGAGTGGTGAAAAGTGAAATGTGTCGATTGGTGAAAGAGAATGCAAATACCCGACTGGGTCAACATGACGAACAAGGGGTAGAAAAATTTCTTTTGACATGGAAATTCTAATAATTTTCCAATCATTTTTAACCTACTCAAATTTTAACTCATTCTCACTCTTCTCAATATTATCAAAATAATTAAATGATATCAATCATTCTCACACATCACATCAACTTTAAATCACTATTCATCCACTAAAATAATTTTATCTACCCATCACTTACAATCACCTCTCTCCTCTTTTCACATCAAATCAAATTCGATCATTTTATTTTAAATATTATTTTAATACAAACTCAAAATCTTACTTAAACCCAATTAAACCCAACTCAACCAACTGGTTAACCAAAAATATAATCAAAACCAAAATATCCAATCAAAAACTTATATCCAACCAACCATAAAATTCATCGACAAAACAAGTGTTCATACCTGTTCATGTGCATATTTGAAGTCATCCAAACTCAAGGGCCGAACGTCTGCACTGCTATGCAACGCAGGCAACGGTCGATTCTCTGCCAATGCCGAGGCTTTCTCCTAACATTTCACAGCTTTGTTCCATTAGAATAACTTTTTAACAACAAAGCTACATTTAGCATAAACACACACACAAATTAAATAAAATAAATTGAAAAAAAAAAGGTAGCCCCCAATAAAAATGATAAGTAATAACACAAACCTTCTTTTCCTTCTCCAAAATTTCTCTTATAGGGCAATGTGCAGCCGTGACACACAGGTTCTGGAAATAGATTTTTATTTTTTATTTTATTTTTTTTGTAAATGAGGGCAATCGAGTGTTAGTTAACCATCTCACCAGAAGTAATATGGAAGTAAAAGAAAGGGGAAAAAAAGAAAAGAAATACGAAACGAGAAAACCTTGAGATCACTTCCCGAATACCCTTCAGTCATGTTAGCAACGGCTTCAAGATCGATATTTGGAGATAATTCTTCTTTGGCCAATATCACCTTCAAAATTTTCACCCTATTTTGAGCATCTGGTAAGTTGACCATCAGCCTGTGCACCAAATAAGGCAGAAAGAATTAAGACAGATCAAATTAACAATAGTAACCATAATAGAGTAATAGACATTTTGTTCTTGAAGAGAATTACATTTTGATTTGAGTTTTTTATATTAAGAAAAATGAAGATAGTAAAGTAAACGAAAAATTCTTATTTTTCTTTGACCTCCAAAAAAAAAATCCTCTAAAAGTTTTTACACATACAAAGTTGCGGGTGAAAAGGTTGTGTCTTTATTTGCAATGGATAAATAAATAAATGTAGGTTTTTAATTGTATCAAAAAAAGGGTCAGGTCGTAATTAAGAAACCTCCTCGGCAGCCTTCTGATTACAGCCTCGTCAAGATCAAAAGGCCTGTTTGTGGCTGCAAGAACCAACACCCGTTCCTTATCCTTTGTACGTAAACCATCCCAATTCACCATAAATTCATTCTTCATTTTGCGCATTGCCTCATGTTCTCCCGGGTTTTCACGTCTCCCTAACATACTGTCAACCTATGGCAACCGAGATATAAGGAAAATTGACAAGAGAAAAAAAAAATAGTAGGAAATATAAATAAAAGTTATAGAGAGAGAGAGAGAGTGGTGAAATTTTATATACAAACCTCATCAACAAAAACGACACTAGGAGCTATTTTGCTAGCCAGGGAGAAGACAGCTTTCACATATTTCTCTCCTTCGCCAAACCACTGATCACCCAACAATCAAGAATTAACACTCGAAAAAAAACACTAATATAGACAAGCGAGACTAGAGAGTTTAAAGGGTAACAAGAAGTATACTTTTGAAGTGATGCTTGACATGGATATGTTGATAAAGTTTGCACCCGCATCAGTTGCAACAGCCTTTGCAAGCATAGTTTTGCCAGTACCAGGAGGCCCGAAAAGCAATATCCCTTTACAAGGCTGCCAAAAATATCATAAACAAGTCACCAAAAAGGAAAAAAGAAAAAATGATTCACAATTGATCGAGCTTGCCTAAGGTTGTGTCTGTATATAAAATAACTCAATCCATACTTAATTCATACTCAAAATCTAACTCAACTTTAACTCAACCCCATTATCCTCAATATTATCAAAATAATTAAACAATATTGATCATCTTTCTTACACATCACATCAACTTTAATTCACTATTCATCCCCTCACATAATTTTAACTAATTATGACTTCACATCATTTCTCTCCTACTTTTACATCAAATCAAAATTAATTATTTTATTTTATATTTTAAATATTATTTTAGTATAAACTTAAAATCCCACTAACAATTAACCATATCACATTTTTCAAAATTAACGATGGTTAACAAAAAAAAAAAAACCTCGTTTTGAGCGGATATATTTGTATCCAAGCATGCTCTAAAGTCTAAACATCTAATTTTCTCTAACGCAATAATTTATTTACCTTAGTAAGTTGCCCTTTGGTGAACAATTCTGGCCTTTGCAGAGGTAGCATCACCAATTCCTTTAAAGTTTCCTTCACATTTTCCAATGCTCCAATGTCATCGAAAGTAACTCCGATATCGCCTGGAGGGATAACCTCAGCAAGCAGCTTTTTCTCAAATTCATTTTCAGTAACCACATCCTACAACTCGAACATGTCAATCTTCTTCTGTTACATATGTGAATATACTATGGGAAAGCATCAAACAAACATAGTTTTATGATAAATTCTTCACCTTAAGAGACTTCTTCGCGCTCTTACTTTCATTTTGAATGGCTTGTAGAATGTTTAGCCCATGGCTAATACTGTAACACAAAAAAAAAAAAAAATTAAGGACCTAACCCGA